CACACACACACACACACACACACACAACACACACACACAACACACACCACACACAACACACACACACACACACACACACACACACACACACACACACACACACACACACACACACACACACACACACACACACCACACACACACACACACACCACAACACAACACACTGAGGCTGTCTATCAAACACACACACACACTGGGTACACTGCAATTTATTCTGCAGTGTGGGAGTAAATGAGCAACTGCGAGAAAGTATGTTTAAAAGAAAACAAAGTCAAGCTGTGGGCTGTTAAAGAAGCTAAAATGTTAGCACAGGTCGTCAGAATACTACACTATTCACATTTAGCTGTTGAGCTTAAACTGTATCAAATACTTTAGCTAAAATAATGTTCAAATTGCTAGTAAGTAAACCAGTTAAAGGTGGGGTAGGTAAGTTTGAGAAACGGGCTCGAGATACACTTTTTGTTATATTCCATGGAATGCTCTTAACATCCTGATAGCAATGAATATATTAAGTGCTTTGACAAAAAATCCATAAAAAAATGTCATCTGTGGAAGCTGTAATACTGTAAAAAGCACGACCAATCATCTGAGCCAGCCTGGCTAAAATAACTGGATGTCCTACCTGCCTGTCAGCCTTCCATCTGTGCACAAACTTATCTCGTGCCCTCATTGGTCATGTGCGCGTTCATGTGTGTTGGAGGAGGGGCTCTGTAAGGAAGTGGCAGATTTGTTTTCCGGCTGTGTATTTTCAAATTCTAGCGATCTCGAGCCGGTTTCTCCAAAATTACCTACCCTACCTTTAACATAGTGAATTTAGCAAATGAACAGATAGCGTTGAGCTAGCATTGAAATGTTATGTATAGTTGGTTGTTTTGGCAGCTAGCATAAACAAGATTAGCAAATTTGAAATTCTACGTCTGCCTAGCTTTAGACATGCTGATTCCTTAACTCATTTATTTGTAATACATTCAGACAGAGAGAGTTTGCCGCACAAGCTGCCATCTCTTTTACAGTATTTATGCTAGGCTAAATGGTATTTACCAGTGCTATATTGCCATTTGGATCCAAAATGGTAGAAAAAACTCCCTATTGATATCAGGACAGATCAGGGGTCTGCAACCTTTTTAACCAAAAGATCAATTTTGCCCCCTTTTCCACCAATTTCTTTTGTCTGGAGCCGCAAAACGTATTTGATAGCTTGATAGCTTATAAAGTTGTATAAATATTGTTACATCATAGACAATAACTACAGTTGTTTGCATTTATTATTTATTACATTATAGAAAACTGTTTACATCTAATAATAAACAAAGAAAAAAGAATTAAAAAAAATACACAGGCCAACTTTAAAATAAATCAACACAGCACTTGGGGAGTCCTCGGCACATAAATGAATATAATTAAAATTGACCCACTTTGAAATAAATAAAACATATAGCTGCACCCTAAAAAGAGTTAACTGATTGAATTATGACTGCAGATCGTCAGCTGTCTTCCTCTTCCGTGTTTTTCCTCCAATACGTAAAGGCTGCAGCACCTTTGACAACTTCTCTCCACATATCAAACATACCGGTAAGCCAGCATCGCTTGCTGTGAAAGCAGATAACTCTAACCACGCAGAATTAAACCCTCTGTGTTCCTCAGATACTTTTATTTTCTTTGATGTATCCATAGTTCGCTCATCGAGCCAGGGGTCAGGTTATTCGCCTGCAAGAAAAGGCGCTGGCGCGGGACCGTAGCAGGATATGACGCATATTTGAGTTGACCTAATTAAAACCGTTTTTTTAAAAAAATGATGTGTCACAGTATCACCTCAAAATACAAGATACGAAACATTTTCAACCGTGCAACAAAATATAATTAGTCCTACAAATATTTTTATTTTAGTAGTCGGGTTGCCGACCCCTGGGACAGATGAAAGTCTACACATCTTCTTCCCCTGCTCCCTGGCTATTAAACCAAACACACACAATTAAAAGAAATAGAATATTTTAGTACTTAAAAAGGGTTTAGCTCATATGAAACCAATGCAGCACTTACCGTTTTTAAGCAAATAGATCTGCAGGTTTCTTGCTGTTCTGAGTTTTAATCTTCAAGTTTCATTGCACTAATTGTAATATAATTCATTGCAACTTGCATACAAACATGCATGCAGCCCAAAGTTGTTTACATAAATACAAGAAAAGTTGAATATACTGTGGCTTCTTAATTTCCTTTGCAAGACACAGCATGCCATTAAGGAATAACCTCCTTTCTCTAGCTCCATGTTTAACCTACAGCTCTTCTGTAAAAGTGGTATTGACCTTCTAACCCCACCTTCTGCAAGACATCGAACAACCGAGTTTCCCAAAGCTCTACCTTAAAGGTCCCCTATTACACTGTTTTTCATCAATATATTATAGGTCTCAGATATGTACAAAACCTGTCTCTGATTGGCTGAAACACCAAACAGATCATTCTGAGAGAGATTTGGTTAAAAGAACACAATAGTGCTCTAGGAGGAGATTCAGGTGATAAGGGGGGGGGGGGGGGGGGGGGTTACCTTGGTTGCTGATTGGCTAATGGTTACACAAGACAAAACATCGTTATGACATCATAAAGTGGCCAAAATCTGATCAGCTCATTTTCAGACAGGTTTTTATATAAATGGATCAGGACAAAAAGAGAGAGAATCTTTGTTCCTGAAACTTTCAGAGTCTCTTTACACAGAGGGGACACATGTGTAAAGTAGTATATGAAAATGTGGATTTTGCACAATAGGTGACCTTTAAAGTGTGTCCCAGTCCTCCACTGGGATAAGAGTTTACATAAAAACAATATCTAATTGTGGAAGAAGGGTATAGGTAATACATGTCATGTTGAGTCATTGTTCTTAACAGCTGTATATCATTTTAATTGTATTAATCTTGTGTAATCTCTGTTGCCGCTTAAACTCCTCAATTTCCCCATGGGGATTAATAAAGGACCATCTTATCTTATCTTATCTTATTGTTCGCACTGTTATGTGAAACCCTGGCTGCCCTTAAAGAGCGTACACTACAACTCCTATGATAACCACAAAGGAGCTGAATCAATGGCAGAAATCTGTGTTTGATGTGTGTGTATACGCTCTTTGTCTCTTAGGACTAGACTTACTGTATCTCTGGAGTGTATAGAGCGGCTTTTCCACTAAATAATATCTCCTTTTATCTCTGGATCTTTCAACAACGCTATTTTTAGCCGCTTGCTTTAGATAGAGCCGATGGATTTTTTGAAGGCGAAAAAGAGCCAAGATATTCTGTTTCTTGCTCGTAAAACACTTCTCCCTTGCATGTCTAGTACTGCAAGTCTGACTCACACCAATAACATACACTTGTCAGAGCACACACTTCAATATAAATACCATTTCCCTGTTGACTAGTAGCATTTCAAACAGCCAGGAGACTCAATTATGCTGAGATGATGTAATGGAGTCCAATGAAAACAGCACACCTAAACATGACCTCCACGTCAGAGGGAGATGTCCTCACACACCCCCCATAAATAAACAGATAACGGTTTGAAAAGCAGGGAGAAAATAGATTAAAGTGCAAGGGAACAAACTAATGTGATTAAATGTAATTAAAAAGAGCGGTCAAACGAATCGAAGACATTAGAGTAGGTCAGCATTTGAGTTTTTAATTGTTGTACACAGTAGTATTTGTCATTTAATAAATATTTCCAATGTGCAAAATATATATTCCTTCAAAATAAAGCTTTGAGGATTGTCATGCTTTGGAAAGACAGCGTCATATAATTTAAAATATGGTTTAAATATCGTACAGTCAGTGCAAACATGTCACATACAGCAGTAGGTTTTACCTTAAAATCCAGCAAGACTACTTTATTTATAAAAAAATATCTTTGGCAAATGCCCATTGAAATATAAAATAATAAATATCTGCTTCCTCTGAGATATGATGTAAAGAAGGGAACACACACACAGATGGTCAACAGAAGGCTTGTGAGGGCTTTCGGGCTGACAGCTGTTGATTTAAAAGTGTCATCTTTTACCCTGGGTGTTACATCTGTTACTCGTTTTCATATTTACAGCTTCATGTTTGAGCGAATAGAGGACAAGCAGAGGACAAAGAGACAACGGCGACATCTACTGGCGTTCTGCAGAGCTGCATTGATAAATATAGTGCAAGAGGAACACACAGAAAACCATTTCATGAGGTGTTTCAATCGAATCGTGCTGTTATAGGCGGTAGGAAACATACATGGGGTGGGATTACAGCTAGTTTACATACATTCCAGTTGATGCATGAATAACAAAAAGTCACACATATAAATTAAATAGGCCTTTAGTCCAGAGTGTGGTGCAGAAATTCTGTATTTTTCTAGGTTGACCCGGAAGTTGGCATCTTAAGGGTTCCCTCGCTAAAAAGCCAATGGGATTTTTCCTTTGGCTTTTGAAATATTGCAGAGAATAATATCTGTGGCAAACAAACTTTTAGCATGTTTACAGATTTTTTTTCCATAGGATAATCTCAAAAATGTTGACACAACTTTATGATTTTTGAAGCCTAAATGGAATCTCCATCGGTAAAAGGCTAACATTAGGCTATAAAGGAACTACAATGACTTCATGTCAACACCGCTAAGCTAAAGGTGGCTAATGTTGGGCTATAAAGGAACTACAATGACTTCACGTCATCACCGCTAAGCTAAAGGTGGCTAATTTTGGGCTATAAAGGAACTACAGCACGGTCACATGACTTCACTTCACCACCGCTAAGCTAAAGGCGGCTAATGCTGGGCTATAAAGGAACTACAGCACGGTCACATAACTTCATGTCACCATCGCTAAGCTAAAGGTGGTTAATGTTGGGCTATAAAGGAACTACAGCACGGTCACACGACTTCACTTCACCACCGCTAAGCTAAAGGTTGCTAATGTTGGGCTATAAAGGAACTACAACACGGTCACATGACTTCACGTCACCATCGCTAAGCTAAAGGCGGCTAATGTTGGGCTATAAAAGACGGTCACATGACTTCACGTCACCAGTGGGGTATTTACTGACGTATTTTATGTCGTAGGATAAACTTCTCTTCAGCTTACGTTAACCACAGATGTTATTTCCGACCAAAAATGCATTCAAAAACCTTTAAGACGAGGGAACCCCAAAGTGTTAAAATGCTAATTAACTTCAGGGTTTGAGGCCTCATTCCTGCACCACTCAATTCTCGTATGGTTCACTGAACAGTAAAATAACACAAGCATGGATCACTGGCTGGATAAATAAGCCCACAAACAGAGTTTATAATTAGATTACATTAAAAAAAATAAAGAAGCACTGTTATCTGCCCGGTGCAGAAGTGTTGAATTAGAGTGGGTAATCCTTTAACACATGCAATCAAAATGATGCAGTCTACTGCTAACACCTGTATTACTGTCAAGACCTTCACTGTGAATATGCTGCTACGTTGGAGGTGTATAATCATCTTGCAATCACCAATAAAGTCTTATCTTGAATTCACAAAGGTACCGTAACTCCAAATGTTGTTCCAACCGTTGGCGTAATGAGAAGTTTATGAGGGGAATAAAATTGAAAAATTATTAGCAAAAGAAGTTGATTTAAGTATTAATTGTTTTTGAAGATGTGGGAATATTTCTTGGGACCCTATTATGGTAATTTTAAGGATCATATTGGTATTTTGATGCCTCTAATTTGACACGTTAACATGCTTTTATGTTCAAAAAGGTCGAACTACATCAATTTTTTCCATACAGTACATGGTCATTTTAAGGTTCATATTAGTATTTTATGGCTTTAATTTGACCCATTTACATGCATTAATGTTTAAAAAGCTATTTATTTTTCTCTTAAAAGGGGAACTACATCAATTTTTTCCATACGTGGTCTAAGAAAGTCCTGAAATAATGGTAAGCAAAAACCACTCTCTCCCAAATCCAAATCCTAGCGTGCTATAACTTAAATATGTGTTGTCATCAAGTATAAAGATGGGAAAGCTGGTATAGATGACATAGGAGAATGTTCGGGGACCATATGAGTAATAAATATGATTTATTTGGGTATAAATAAATAAATAAAACATCCTGTCGGTCCGTGAAAACAGATTTATTTCTCTGGTTTTCTGGCTATGAGAGAGAGAAGCTCACACATATCGATTGGACTTTCCTAACCATGGTAGCTACATAATAGGATTTGTAATTTAGGTCGTGTTCCCCTTTTAATCACACTGATGATTAACTGATTTAACAAGGCGTACTGAATTAAATGTAGCTGGTACAGATTTAAAAGTTAACTACAACAGACCTATTGTTCTACTTTCACAGGAGATTGATATTTATACAGAACGCTCCCCTTTGAAAAGGCAATTATTAATCTAACAGTCATACTGTTACGCTGCTAAAGAGCCGTCTTGTATGACCGAGCTGTAGATAATTAACAGAGAGCGGCTATAAAAAAAGTAAATATAGATTTTCTTGTATCAGTCAGTCCACATAACGTAAAATAAGAAATGTTTTCATTAATTGAACGACAGCTAAACTAAATCCAAATATATGTCGATCGGCTTGTCAAACGTACATTTTCAGTTAAACCTCACTTTATATTAGACATAATCAGTCTGTTCATGCGAGACTGAAGTGATTTAAATATTATGGTTTCAATGAAAGTGCAAGTGTTAGTGAATTAGTGAACATGAGTGAATATGGAGACTTATACTATACTGCATAAGTTATGTAAGAGTTTGTAAACACATGTTTTGATATGATTTTGTAAGGCAGACCCCATTTACTTCAAATCATCTCTCCATTTTTGGGTTTCTTTTTCAGTTTGGCAGTATGCAAAACATTTCAAGAATTGGGTTAGTAATGACTATTACATATTACTTTAACTCTACTGCACTTCTGCTGGAGTTTGGAATACTTTCCAAAGACTTACCACATAAATAAAAACACAGCATAAATAGGACACTTCTGATTTCACTTCACTAAAAGTGCGTAAGTAGGCAACAAAGGCACTTCTTTTACACATTCACTTGAGGTTGTATACTCTCCAGGTCAGGTTTACTATCAGGATCCAGCATTAGGTTAGTAAGAGAGGCAGCTTTACCCAGTTGGTACTGCTCCTTCATGGGTTCATCCATTTCCACGTCTGAATACTCTTTTTTCTTTCCATTCCTTCCATCAAAATCTGCCGTGATCTCTGCCAGTGTCTTTCCTTTAGTCTCTGGTAAAGTGAGCCCCAAAAACACAGCGGAGGCCACACAAACGACAAAGAACGGCAGGAAACAGAAATCCCCCAACCCTTTGACGATAAACGGGAACAGCATGCCCACCAAAAACAAACCGATCCACATGCAAGACCCGGCAACCATGTAAGCAGCCGGACGAGCCGATTGGTCAAAGATCTCGGCCGGTAGGATCCCCGAAACGCCTGCAGGACCCAAACCAAAACTAAGGATATAGGCGAAAACACAAGCCATGCTGAGGTACGCCATTCCAGCAACACCTCGACTCTGGAGGTTCAGAGCAACGGTGAAAACTACGCTCCAGAAAGACATCAAACTGTACCCTCCAATAAGAAGGTATCTACGTCCAACTCTTTCGATCAGCAGGTTGCTCAGGATAGACGCAGTAAACTCGGACGCCCCTGTGCCGATGGTGATGTATTGGATCATCTGTGGAGGTATCCCCGCTGCGAGGAAGATGTAGTAAGCGTAGAAGTAGATGGAGTCGTTGCCGCAGAGCATCATGGCGCTACTGGCCACCATGACAGTCCTGAGCTGAGATCGAAGGCCTGCATCCTTAAACAGAGTCCAAGGCGTCTTGTTGGCAGAAGATCCAGAGTTCAAGGCGGCAGATTTTTGCTGCTCCTGCTCCTCAAGCATCTCCTCCACCTCCAAAATGGGAGCTACGCCACCTCGAAGCCTCCCAAGCGCTTTGACACAAGCTTCCTTGTCTCCTCGGTCGATGAGAAGGTACCTAGGGCTTTCTGGAAACCATGGTAAGGTGAGAAGTTGGATCAACCCTGGCAAAGCGTTACTAGCTAGTAAATAAGGCCAAAGATGCTGTGCACCCATAACTTCAGTGAGACCCACAACTTGACCCAGGAAAATCCCAAACGCAGTGAAAACAGCCGAGGAAAAAGCCACAGCACCCCTGAGATGTTTGGGTGCGCTTTCCCCAAAATACATAGGCTGTACGTTCATACTGACGCCTGAGTTAATCCCCACTAGGAAGCGAGCGAAGAAGATCATCTCGAAGGATTTTGCCACCCTGGAAGTGAGCACGAGAACAGCGCCAGCGAACAGGAAACCGTTGTTAAGAAGCAGAGAGTTCTTCCTGCCAAATCGGACCGAAAGAGGACCGGCGAGAAGGGCTCCGAGCAAACCCCCGAGGGAAAAGGCTGAAACGATAATGGTCCACATTAAGGTGAGCTGAGAACTTTCCAAACCAGTGCCCCATCGCTCCATGTATGTGTCGTTGATGAAGGTCTGGATGTAGCTGGTAGGAGCGTTGATGATGGATATGTTGTAGCCATATTGGAAAGTTCCTCCAATGGCTGCAGAGCAAATGGTCAAAGCGAGGATTATGGCTCCACCACCACCATCTTCACCTCCAATTGAGGGTCTAATGGTTTCTTCTGGCTCACCTTTTGGGTCCATTTGAGGCATGGTTGTGTCTCTCAGGAAACACAAACGTGTGGATCCTACAGTCTCTTAAAACTACAGTTAGCTCCAGCGTAATGTATAACCTTAGTGTTTAACAAGCATGTCATTTAGAGTAATTATGTAACCAAGATAACGGTCTAGATTTCCTTTGAAGAAAAACGTTGTTGTACACACAGGAAAAGCCGGTTTCATTTTTTGTCAAGCACTATTTTTACCTCTTTTGACCTCTCAGGCATTTTCCTTCCGCACGACCAAGCCAAAGAAATCCCGAAAATAGCAACACCAAACCAACTGGATACTTCTATACCTGTATTATAGCAAGGTATTGGCGTTTAACTATAAATATTTAACATTAAGCAGAGATAAAACGGGCTATACAGCGAGCTAAAACGGAAACATTAGCCTGACAGTCCGAGTTGAGGGATCCACTTCCTCCTTACTATCTACGTTATCTACGTTAACTACGTTATCTACGTTATCTACGCCTATCTACGTTCAGGCTTCTGATTGGTTCACAGCCCCGTAAAACACAACGTGATCTCTATGCGACTGACACAGGATGAAAATATGTAAGAAAAAACGTTTTATTTTATTCAGTACACTGTTTTATGTATTGCCCAATAACGTCAGTCACATAAAGTACAGTTATTTTTTGTTTAAAGACGTGTTTGTGAAATTATTCAACATTATAAGCAATGTGTGTGTGTGTGGTGTGTGTTAAATAGCACATTGAGATAATCATGAATTATAAAAACATGTTTCTCACATATTTAAAATGTGAGGTGAACAGGGTAACATGTTTCCATCATGGGAAATGTATTCTTACATTTCACTTGTGTGAAGAAAATACAAATAGAAGCAGTAGGAACGCTTATTTATACTTATCATTGATTAAATCCATACATACAGATGCAGTAGCAACACGTTACCAGCAGATGTCGCCGTCCAGACCATTAAATGCTTGAGTCACAGTTTAATTTAAATACAAAAGGTTTATTTGAATGCCAAAACAGCATCTCCATATATTATACATTATATTTTATGTACACAGACGATTCATTGTGTTTGTTCTCCGTAACAAACTGAGACCACAAGGCAAACCACTGCAAGTCTCCTCTTGCACTCTTAAAGTCTTTGAAATCTTCTCAGCTTCACACTGCATTTAATATGCTTCAATAGGACAACATAGGCCGTGTCTCATTTCTGGGATTTCCCCTCGTCGACTCCTATCCTCGTGTCTGAGAGAAATGAGATGTCCTTCAACATGGCGCGCTGAAATTCATTTCCGGGTCACTACCGGAGGACCGAGGAGTCGAGGAGGGGAAATTAGAGAAATGAGACACGGCCATATAGTCCGCAGCAGGTCATGGTTTTGTGTCTCCTTCTGATTGGCTGGGAGGAGGATCGATCAGGTCTTTGAAGCCCAGTTTCTCCATTGGCTCCTTGGCCATCAGCTGACTGGAAAACACACGATGAAAAGGACAAAGTTAGAAAGAAATCAGAATCAGGTTTATCACCAGGTAGGTTGACACGTACGAGGAATTTGACATAAAAATCAAACAACAATTAAAAACACAGATAGAAAACTATTGTGACCATGACCTAATGGGGTAGGGTATTTGTCTTTCCTTTAATAGACAAATTGTCCTGTACTTTATATAATGTGCTGAATGTGCCATGATGTGTAGCCATCATTACATGTCACTTGTTAGACGCTTTTATCCAAAGCGACTTACATACTCAATACTGTGGACAATCCCCACATGAGCAATTTGGGGTGAAGTGTCTCAGGGACACAACGACATGCTGACTGCAGTGGGACTCAAACTTGCTATGCTCTGATTCGAAGATCAGTGCACTAACCCACTGCGCCACACGCCTCCCCATCAGGCTTCACAACATGGGGTCAACAATGTGAAACAATTACTGGACACAAATACACACTGTTTCCACACACCCATGTTAATATATCTAATATGAAATATGTATATATGACCCAATATGTATATATGACCCAATATGTATATATGACCCAATATGTATATATGCTCATCTTCATTTTAATTAATTTCTTACTTCATAGTTTATATGACCCAATATTTATACCATGACATTTTTCCATGGCATAAAATGTTGTTTTATTTTATATTTTCAACATACAGCACTATACTATGTCGTTTAATCTTATATATTTGATATACTATACTTACTATAATAAAAAATTCTATACTATAAAAAAGAAAAACATAGTAAAATATAGTCTAACAATGGTGACTTGAGTAAAATGTGAGGATTACAAAGAGGTGTCTGTTTTAATTACTTTTCCATGCGGCACTCCAGGTAGTCTTTGGACTGCAGTCGGCACTTGGAGTTGTCGAAGCTGTTGTCTCTGAGGTATTTCATAAACGTCTCCTTGAAAATTTTACACTCTCCTGAAACACATTCAGAGAGAAGCTTGTCAGTCGTCACATTTACTTCATGTCAGATTACGTTATTAAGTGTGTCTATTCATTTCTATAATAATAATAATAATAATAATAATGCATTTTATTTAAGGGCGCCTTTCAAAGCTCTCACGGACACCTTACAGAGCATCATTAAAAACTAGCAACAAAGAAGGTCAAACAGTAATTCAAGACTTAAAATACAGTTTAGAGGAATTAAGATATTGAATACGCCAGTTTAAAAAGGTGTGTTTTCAGGCAGGATTTGAAGGTTGAGAGTGAGTCCAAATTGCGGATGTCTTGTGGGAGAGAGACGGGGGGGGCAGAGTGGCTGAAGGCTCGTGACCCCATGATGGTCCGGCGGGCAGAAGGTACAGTGAGCTGGAAGGCAGCGGAGGATCGGAGAGCACGAGATGGAGTGTAGGTGTGAAGGAGCTCAGAGAGATATGGAGGTGCAAGAGTGTGAAGGGCCTTGAAGGTGAGGACATGTTGAAGTCGATGCGATATTTAACGGGGAGCCAATGGAGTTGTTGAAGAACCGGAGTGATACGATCAATGGAAGGAGATCTGGTAATGATACGGGCGTCTGAGTTTTGGACCAGTCGATGTGTGTGGTGTGTCCTGTTCTTATGTGTGTTCCTTTTAGGACTCCACATGGTCTGCGTTTTGTTTTTATGTTGACCTTAAAAATGTCTGCCTCATGTTGTTATTGTATTCATGTCTCTGTGGTCTTCATTTGAACTTTTGTTCTTACTTGTGAAGCACTTGTTATAGGTGCTAGGATAAATAAACGTATTATTATTATTATTCTGTCGTGTTTGTATCTGTTTCTTCATTCTGCGTCGTTCTGCCTTCTAACTGCAGGGTACAGTGGAGAATGTATGGATTTGTGTCGACCTTAATCTACTCTTGACTAGGGGTGTTGAAATTAATCGTTTCTACGATGCATCGTGATGCGGACGTGGACGATTCTGCATCGATGCAGGGACAGAACATCATCGATTATAGCGTAGTGCTTCCTGATCTCTGAGGCATTTCATAAACGGCTCCTTGAAGATGTTACTCTCCTGAAACAATACGGCACATTCAGTACTAATGGCTATTTCTCCAAGCTTGGATTGTGTCGAACTTAATCTACTACTATTAAACCGCTCTTAAAACAATCAAAACTCGGCCTTTAAATTAGGAAAGGGTAGCGTATCCTATTTTATTTGTATTTACTTGCACTTTTTAAACTATTTTATCGTGTTGGAGGAGCCTGTGACCTCAGATTTTCATTGATATTTCTACACTGTAGCTATGCACACATGACAATAAAAGCCTTGCATCTTGAATCTTGACAGTCTGATATTGTATTTAAGTCCAAATTGGGAAATTATATTGTCCTAGCAGCAGTGTAGTCAACCATTACACGAGTTAAACATATGTAAAATATACAAATATAAGACAAATACCATTAACACTAGCAGCAAGTAAGTACAAATTCACATTAGAAAGGACATATATGAATAGAGTATCTAAATAATACACTATATAACGAAGATATTGAATACTCACAGTGTCACTAAGCTACAGGAATATATAGAAATACACTACAGACACAAATTGGCAGTAGCATAAATTAGCCATTAGCTTTTATGCATTAACCTCCAGTGTCAAGAGATGAATGCGTTGTATAATCAAAGTAAAATGGACTAAAAGGACTTCTGTACAACGTCTGGCTCTGCGTAAACTCATGACTCTTTTGCAAAACATGCATTAGCTCGGAGTGCATAATGAATTTAAACTACAGCGTCATTTTAACTCTGGTTTTTAAAGGACATTTTGTGTTTTTTCTCACCGAAATGATCAATAGGAAACGCGCCTTTATCAGGAGCGCGAGGCTTGAAACTCTTCGACCCGAAATTCATCGCAGACATTTTTAAAAAGCTTTTAAAACAAGCTTTGTTGAAGATTATTGCAAAAACAGCAACAGAATAACGTGACCCTGTTGTCTCGTGAATATGACGTAATGTTTCGTCTCTGCACACACCCAGACAGTAGCAGTCGATTGGATCGCATCGATGATGGAGTAGGTTTTCGATTAAATCCTTAAAGAAGCAAACACTCGCCACCAGAAATAATATAAATTTGAGTTTTAATCATTAAAATTGTATGTAATGTCTTTCTTTGTAAAGGAATACTTCCAAAAATAGTATTAATACTATTATGAATTACTTTAAATTACAATTAAATGCAGGATATCCTGAGAGAAAATAATTGTTATCTTCAACTTATTAAGTGTTTTTATTGAATATGCAAAATAAACAAACTAATAAAAAGTACTAGGCTATAATTCAGGGACAGATGACTATCCTACACCTCCTGTCTGACCTACTAAACTTGATATAATATAATGCACAACATGATTATAATACCCTACTGTAAAATAACAAATAGGGTCCTATAATAATTATCTTTTATTTTGTACTCATCCCTATTATATATCTTTCCTCTTATGCATTAGTATGCAATTGATTTATTGATGAGGATTTGAAGACATACCAAGTGTTGTTAGAGTTGTTAAAGAGTCGCTATTATGCTATATGGAGGTTTCCCTTCGCTGTAGTGTGTTGTATAGGATGTTGTGCATGTAAATGGTCTGCAAAGCACATAGTGACATCACTGTAACACTCACACTTCTATTGGCTAGCGCTCCTAGACATTGTACGTGATAGGCTAAGGGGCGGGACATCTCTAAGAGGTTGACCAATCACAACAGAGCCGGCCAGCGAACCAATCAGAGCAGACTGGGCTCTGGTTTCAGACAGAGGGTGAAAAGAGGTGCTGTAGCACAGACAGTATGAGAAAAATAAAGAGCTTTTTGAACATTAAAGCATGGAGACACTACATACTGATATACACCTGAACATCAGCAGGAGAGGACTCTTTAAAGTAGAGACACTACATACTAATACAAACTGAAAATGAGCCTCTTTAATTAAATGTGTTCTGGTAGTCCACCACTGGATGTCTCACTCTTATAAGATAAGGTAGAGGAGACTGACAGGCAGTAGCCTAAAGGAGGGCGGGAGGAGGAGATGGTAACATGTAGGCTTGATTATAATGCAGTCTCAGTAATAGAGCTATTAAACAGACAGAGAGGTTTCCCCCAGCGGTCTTTCTCCTCCTCTTGTGTCAGATTGGAGGTGATCTAGCTGTCTCTTTCTGCCTCTCTTTCTTTCTCTCTGTCGGACTTCCAGCAGCGGATGTCCTTCTTCTTCTTTCCCCCCCCGCGGTGAGGCTGCTGCTGGATGGATAGACTCAGCATGGCGGAGGAACCGGAGGGGAACAACCGGCTCCTGCAGGACGTGCTGGTTAGACCGGGGAACGGAACATGTGCGGACTGCGGCAATCCAGGTAAGCCTTCCCCCCGAAAAAACCCTTCTCCTGGGTCCAGCATAGAGACAGTGCATGCAGCTGCAGGTAATGCATGTAAGAGGCTGGGGTAACATGCAAACTGGTGCTTCAAAACCAGACAAGTGTGAGTGAATTTGGTTCAGAAATGATGAAAAAAGGTCGATCTACTTGAAAAATCAGCATTTATTTTCCATGCATATGTCCTTAGAGACTGGACTCTGGACTGTCATAAACACATGAAACACTCCTATGTGGCTGTCATGGTGTGTGAGGGTGCACAAAGACATGTCAACTATCCCCTGTGTGTGTGTGTGTGTGTGTGTGTGTGTGTGTGTGTGTGTGTGTGTGTGTGTGTGTGTCCACAGTGTGATAGCTTATCTTGTGGTCTGCACTGTCAGCACCAGTAATTATTGGTGTGTGCCCATTTCATGTTTTTCATTTAAATGGCACAATTTGTTCTTCATTATCAGCTTTTCTCCATCCTCTCTTCCCATGCTTTCCCCCTTTTAATCCTCTCTCTTCCTCCCTTCCTCTTCCTCCCACTCCTTTCTTCTTTTTTCTCCTCACTGAAAATGGCAATAAACCAGTGATTGGCCACAGAGGCTCCGGTTCGGGCCGTTTGCCCAGTGTTTTGGAGCCGATTCGCCCAGGATGCTGTTCCTCGGCCCTGGTTACGGCTCCTCTGAGGACTGGCTGTTGGGGAGCAGATTTTGGAGCCAGAGGCACTCGAACAAAGAAATGAGATAGGTTTGTTCTGAGCTCTTGGAGAGGGATTTCGTCCTGACCAAAAGGGTGTTGTGTTGTTGACAAATGGGCAGAAAATGGGCTCTTAACATTGTTGGTGCTGTGTAGAGAGCAGATTTAATTTATTGGATATTTGTATGTGGTCTTTTGCTTCTTAGTACCTCTGAATGACATAATGTGCTTCACCCTATAGTTGGTTCAATATTAACACAACTGCTGGATGGATTGCTTTGAAGACATTCATTGTTCCCGGGGGAAAAACCTGACTGACTTCAGTGTTTGTATCATTGTTTCTTTAGTGCCACAAGCTACAGGTTAAAGTATTTATTTAACCTTAACAATATCCCAACAATGGATCTGCACAAAATGTCAGTGTCATTCTTGGTTCCCAGAGGATTTACCCTAATGACTGCTGAGTGAAATCTCTAGACAAAAACTGGATGGATTGTCGTGAAATTTGGTACGGATGTTTATGGAAGCCCATTTCCTCCAGTAAAAGACAACTATAATACTTGTGATGAAAACAAAATATGACTTACTATCCTGAAATTATAACATTGTATCTCAAAATAACTACTTTTTATACAAAAACTATGAGAAAACTCTCACAAAATACTGCCATAGTATCTAAAAAATTACTTATTTTCAGATACAACAGCCTTTTAAAGATAGGTTGCTCAATAATTTGAGATACTTAGGTAATATCTAAAGAGGGCTTCTCATTAGATTGCCTCACATTAAAGGTAGGGTAGGTAAGAATGGAGAAACCAGCTCGAGTGCGCTAGAATTTGAAAGTATGCAGCCGAAGAAATCTGCCCCTTCCTTCAGACTTCCTTACAGAGCCCCTCCTCCAACACACACGAACGCGCACATGACCAATGAGGGCATGAGATAAATTTGTGCACGAGATGGAAGACTGACAGGCAGGTAGGCCATCCAGTTATTTTAGCCGGGCCGGCTCAGATGATTGGTCTTGCTTTTTACAGCGCCACGGCTTCCACAGATGACATTTTTTTATGTATTTATTGTCAAAGCATTTAATATATTCATTGCTATCGGGATGTTAAGAGCATTCCATGGAATATAACAACAAGTGTTTCTGAAGTGACTTATCGACCCCACCTTTAAGTGTTTTTCTTTACATTTGTGGAAATGGGCTTCAGATGTTCATGGTCTCAACAGGATGAATTATAATACCTATGGTTACACTAAAATGGCAACATTTTCTAAAAAGCATCACAGAGACAGATGCAGCCTCTCAGTCTTGTTTGGGATAAATTGGCTGGAAAATAATAAGAAAAACTGGTGACATTCCCACCAGCCTCAGCAGAGTTTAATGCTAATTAACGTTTATCATGCTACAGGCGCTAAACTAAAATGATAAACACTAAACCTGCAAAACATCAGCATGTTAGTCCTGTCATTTGGAGCATGTTGCTGTGTTAGCATTAAGCTAACAGCACCACTTTGTCTTAGTACAGCCTCCCAGAGATAGCTGCAGACTCTCCGTCTTGTACGGGATAAATTGGTTCATTTACAGATACCCTTATTTGACCTAAACTGTTGTGCGACGGAACACATTGCCCAGAGGAAACATTGGATCTGATTGTTCCCCCCGCTGAGATTGTTCATTAGTTTTGCGTGGCAGGCTAGCCGCTTTCACCTTTGCAATCATTACATAATCAAATTGAGTTTTGCTGGAGCAAAGGTGGGACAGATGTTCGGTGTCGTGCAGCAGATTCAGGATAATCAGAGAAGCTGGTAATTGTAGAGTGACTATGGGAAAATCCCAGCTGGGGAAAAATGCTCTTTTATCCCTCAACAAGTGCTCAGATTCCCACAGCAACACAACTGCTAGTGAAGCTGCTAAATTATCTACACTATAACTTCAACTTCCTCCCATATTTGCATTTTAACGCTGGGTTTATGTCATGAAATTCCAGGAAAGCAGAGTCCAGTGTTTGGATATCCATTCATCAACAAAACACATCTTCCTCCATCCCTCTGCTACCAGATCACGCTCATAATTCACGTCTCATAATAGTCATGATATGAATTATTGATGCAGGCGGCTCCTTCCCAGATGGGGACAGGATCTTATCGCTGTGGCTTTTTCAGAAAAAACATCACAGTTTCATTACAGCTTCGAACACCACAAATCATCTCCACGGAGCAAACAGACAAACATGTTCTGAACAAGAGAAGAGGGGGTCAGAGAGGAGTTAAACAGGGTGTGTAGCTGCTCAATTACTCTAGGATTACTTATTTATTGCTCATTTTAGACGTCATGGTTCATACAAATGTTTCAGTCACCCTTAATTGGGGATAATAACAGTAAAGGTTGTCAGTCAAATAGCTTCTGAATCTTATTGGGTTGTTTAAGTTGCTGTGTGCAAATGATATGTAACATCCAGGCTAGAAAAAACACTTTTCCTGAAGAAAGAATGACTGTATTTTCTGTGAGTATATTAAGTAACATGGTAAACTTGATGAAGCAAAGGGGTCTCTACTGTAGATGAATAGGGGCGTAAAACACAAGACAATTGTGCTTCTGTGTATTGTACCTTTGCATTTCATCTTCGCCAAAAAGCTTTTGTTTGAATGTCGGTTTGGGAGAAGGATTTTGTAAAAATGACCTCCGCATTTTCGTGAAACTTGGTGTTAGTGAGTAGAACGGGTCTTGTAGTGGATTGGCGTTGTAGAAAGTATGCAAGAAGTTATTTTTTAATATCTGATCGAGCTGCTCACAATTCAGTCGAGTATTTTGGTGAGAACTTCCAACTCTTTGAGTGTAAAAAATAATATACATCATTGACTAGCTCAATGTCTACTTGTGCCAAGATTGACTTTAGTTACCAAGAATCAAATGTGTTAAACTAGATTGCTAGCATGATTTGCTACAACTGCAAAGGTGATACTGATAACCAGTGTCTAAATGAGACGACTAAACGTCATCACGCCCAACATTAGCCTCCTTTAGCTTAGCGGTGTTGATGTGAAGTCATGTGACCGTGCTGTAGTTCCTTTGTAGCCCAACATTAGCCGCCTTTAGCTTAGCGGTGGTGACGTGAAGTCATGTGACCGTGCTGTAGTTCCTTAGTAGCCCAACATTAGCCGCCTTTAGCTTAGCGGTGGTGACGTGAAGTCATGTGACCGTGCTGTAGTTCCTTTGTAGCCCAACATTATCCACCTTTAGCTTAGCGGTGGTGATGTGAAGTCATGTGACCGTGCTGTAGTTCCTTTGTAGCCCAACATTAGCCGCCTTTAGCTTAGCGGTGGTGACGTGAAGTCATGTGACCGTGCTGTAGTTCCTTTGTAGCCCAACATTAGCCACCTTTAGCTTAGCGGTTGAAGAAACACACTCCTCAATGTCAGTTTCAGTGTTTTAATGACAAAGATGACGACACCCTGAAACAGAGTAATACAGCGAGGTAAGCTGACAAAGTATTACATACATGCATGTCATCATTAACACAACACAAATATATGCTACGACACCACGTATATATACACCAACAATAGTGGGAACAGTCTTACATGTGTGAGTGGATGAACGTCTCGACACGAGGCGGCGTGAATGAACAATGTTTGAACTAAAATGGCCGCTCAGTACTACCGGGTCAGAGCGCGGCATATCCGGTGCGACAGCAGTGAGACGCTGCCCTCTAGTGGCCGGCGATAAACTCTTCAGCGGTGGTGATGTGAAGTCATGTGACCGTGCTGTAGTTCCTTTGTAGCCCAACATTAGCCACCTTTAGCTTAGTGGTGGTGATGTGAAGTCATGTGACCGTGCTGTAGTTCCTTTATAGCCCAACGTTTGCTTCAACTATTATAATAGTGGTGTTCATGTGGAGATGATCCTACTGAACAAAGGGATAGGAGCTCTTGCGATGCTAACTTCCATGTTGTACTACAAAAATACGTCACCCCTGCACTACTCTACCACATCACATGAAAACCTTTTTATTGCAGGCTTACAGAGTAAAGACATCATCATCAGTGACCTGGCTGTCCTGCCTCACCCCGTCCTATCTTCCCCTCAGATACAACATCCATTAACCTGACAGCCTGCCTGCTGTAATTGGTCTGAAAACACACAAAGTGGCAACACTGCTTCATAATGCTTACTCATTCTTCCTCTGCCCTTCCTTACCTTTGAGTTTTCTCCCCTATCTTTCCTGTGCGGGTGCTCACAGAGGAGTTTATATACAGCAGCGTTTCTCTGCCCTCTGCTAAGGACACACAAACGAGTTTCTGCCTCCAGAGGAAAGCCTCCGCACTCCTCTGGGGTTTGAGGAAGGTGTTTGTGGAAACAGCAAAAGCAGCAGGAACTATGATGAGATAGGAGGGGAGTTCAGGCTCCTGTAGCGTGAATGATTTTAAAGACTAGCCGATATATTGATGTTTTTTAAGGGAAAGTTGGAGAAAACATATTCTGCCTTTCCCATTTCAACTCGGTGTCTTGACAAAGATAAATAGCTCTAGCCATTCATAGAATTGGTAATGTGTTTCTTGCTTGCAGTTTCAGTCTTTATTTTTTAAACTTATTTCGTCTTGTTTTATTTGCAGTTTACTAAGAAAATTCAACATCAACTTTCAATTGTAGGCATATGTTTCTTAGCCATAGCACATTTACAGAGTTTAACCTTTGAAATATAACATCATCATCTTCTGAGGATTTAGAAAACCATGTCAAATTGTTGCCCTTAGCCTAAGGCAACAAAAATGATACTTCTTTAGAATAGAATAGAATATTGGGAGGGATGAAACCCTCTTTAATGTTCACACATGCACACAGTGGGTGTTTCTCAATCGCGAGTACGCTTGCTTGGTAGCACATGTCTTCCGAGTCACTTGCTTCAGAAGCGAGGCAAGAATCCTTCCTGGCATTCGGAAAATTATGAATGGAACAGGCGAGCAAGTGTGCAGGTGTGCGTCATATGAGAGGCCCCGCCTCTTACATCTTCCGCCACAGATTTGGGGAAATTGGTCCGTGCGCAAAGCATTGTGGGGATTTTAAGACCGCGGAGTCTACACATGTGCAGCCTCGAAATTTCTCCAAACGAAGTACGCCGGGCTCGGTAGATTTCCAAGTATGCTGGACATTGGAACAGTACTTCGGCGGCACTCGATGACATAGTATGCTTGAAATAGTGGCTCTGAAGCAGCTTTACTCGACATTGAGAAACACCCAATGACATTTGTTCTCTGCTTTTTACCCATCCTAGTACCAGGAGTCTAGTACTAGGAGCAGTGGGCAGCTATTGTACAGCGCCCGGGTAGCAATGGGAGTGGGGGGGGAAGGGGGTTGTCTGGTGCCTTGCTCAAGGGCACCACGGCAGGGCCCAGGAGGTGAACTGGGACCTCTCCAAGTAGCAGTCCACACTCCATATTTTAGGTCTGGTCGGGGACTTGAACCGAAGACCCTGCGGCTCACAGTCCAAGCCCCTACTGACTGAGCCACTGGCGGACAATATGTTCAGGCTTAGCTCATCATTAATAGCCTAAATTATATAAAAAACATTTCCCAAATACATTTCAAAATGAGTTAATATTGAATTGCTGTTGACAATATGTTTTTTATTTATGAAGTGACACAAAGAGATTCACTAAAAACCTTTGACAGCAATATGTCATCAAATAAAATGTTATTACATGTTCAGATTAATGTCCTGAAATATGCACAGATAATGCATGATTACCATATTCAAACACATTTTCTGAACTCCTGTAATACAAACAGTCTAAGTTAACAACTGGGGAAGTTAAATGTTGATATGTTACCCTACTGTCTCCACTGCTGCAGAAATAAAGCCTGTGTTAGTGCCTGAGGGGCTTTATCTGCAACATGAGGGGTCAAAACCTCTGCTGTCCCAAATGTCTCACCATTAACCCCAAACACTGACACACTGACAGATGTGTGTCCGATCAGATAAACTGCTGCAGATGCAGAAAGTGTCTGAAAGCCCAAAAGCAGAGAGGCTGGTTTTGTATAAATGCCCCCACAGGCTCTACTTTCTGCAACCTTATAGCGGTGATATCAAAACTCCTGTCAGAGACGGAGCTCTTTAACACTCAGCAGCGGGAAACAAACCAGCAGAGTCACACTAACTAAGGAGTTTCCACCTCTTGCTCACTGCCACTGGGCATCTGTTGTTCCCAGTCATCCTGTCGAGAAACATGTACAGTAGAGGAGGAAGCACTGCGTGTGTGTGTGTGTGTGTGTGTGTGTGTGTGTGTGTGTGTGTGTGTGTGTGTGTGTGTGTGTGTGTGTGTGTGTGTGTGTGTGTGTGTGTGTGTGTGTGTGTGTGTGTGTGTGTGTGTGTGTGTGTGTGTGTGTGTGTGTGTGTGTGTGTGTGCGTGTGTGTGTGTGTGTGGTTACTCAGTCATGCGGCCACAGTAATCTCCATGAGTGCTGTGTGCTTCTCCATAAGGTCTGACTCAGCCGGCGATGACCTCACCGCTCGGTGGCTGCTGCTGTGTAGGTGTGTAATTGCACAAAAAGGACATGTAACGAATTCAAAATAAAGACCAAGCAAGCAAGTGGTTTGATTTCCTCTCATCAAAGCGCCGTCTCCAGGAAGTTGACTTTTATATAAATATCCCCTAATGTCGCGGGTTAAAAGAGATACATGGAGGGAAGATTATCGTAGATGCCAGTAACTCCCTGGGGGATTCGCTCACATCTCCTCTCTGCATGATAAAGAACACACACTCTTCCTCCTTTCTTCTCATCCATCACCTTCATCATCTTCCTCCTTTATCCTCCATCAAATCCTCCTCCCTGCTGCTACCTCTATGGCGACTCCCATCTTTTTGCTTTCGCCAGGCTTTCCTTCCTTTGCCTCTCTTTCCTTTGCCTCTCATATGATTCCCGTGAGCATTACACACTCTCCCTGTGCAAGCGTGTGTGTGTGTGTGTGTGTGTGTGTGTGTGTGTGTGTGTGTGTGTGTGTGTGTGTGTGTGTGTGTGTGTGTGTGTGTGTGTGTGTGTGTGTGTGTGTGTGTGTGTGTGTGTGTGTGTGTGTGTGTGTGTGTGCACCAGGCTCGTGTGAGTGTTGCAGTAGGACTGTCAGTAGGTTGTGGCCATGCATACACAATGCATGTTAACACGTGTGAAAATACACTGTACAGTATACACACACATATACTCCAACATCCTGAGTAGTTCCTGATATATTTAAGATACAGTTATCTAGGTATTGGCTTTAGGGCTGCAAATAAAAAAGATTTACATTATGGTTTTATCTGCAGATTATTTTATAGATTCATTAATTAATTTATGGCAAATAGTGAAACATGTCCAATTAGATTTCAGTTAAAAAATGTCATAACGTTTTTTCTTTACAGTTTCCCAGCGTGCATTGAGACAAGTTTCCAAAAGGAATTGATCTTACATGTTTATGTCAGTCATAATGAACAAAATAAACTTCAACAAGCAATCTGGAATGAGTTATTGACCATTCATTTTCTGTAAAATAGGAACTTAAAAACATTCTGTTTATCTCTATCCACACAGTTTTTCAACACTCGCACTCTCTCTGTCACTCTCCCTGAAACGCTGCGTCTCTGACTTCATTTGCATGGACAGAATCAAAGTGTGTGTGATGCAGTGACTCACATGTACCTTTACTGAACACCCACGTAAGACACCGCTCATGTATCACGCTGCGGAGAGAAAAACATCATCTGACTGACGGATGATAAGAGCTGAAGTCGATGCGTGTGTTTAGTACCATGCCCATGTTGGCAAAAGGGCTTTAACTCATGATCGATTAATCTGCCAGTACAATTTTTGGTCTGTAACATATCAGAAATTATCAAAACTGTCCATTACAGCTTCTCAAAGTTCAAACGTGGGTGTGTTATCAGTCCAAAACCCATAGAAAGTCAGTTTATTCTGATTCAAAGCAGATAAAAACAGGAAATCTGCATATTTGAGAGTCTGAAAACAGCCTTTTCTGCCATATCTGCATGACAAATGAGTATCAAAACAGTTGCTGCAGTGTGTGTGTGTGTGTGTGTGTGTGTGTGTGTGTGTGTGTGTGTGTGTGTGTGTGTGTGTGTGTGTGTGTGTGTGTGTGTGTGTGTGTGTGTGTGTGTGTGTGTGTGTGTGTGTGTGTGTGAGTCTGTTGATGCAGCTAACCTGATAACTACATCGGCTGACTTCTGATCAGATCTCATGCGCTCTGCTTCCTGTCACTAATCTAAATAGGATTTCCCCCCCCAAAAAAAATCACATTTTGCTGCCGAGCAGGGACACACAGAGTCCCCTGTAATATCTGCTTCATTTACTCTCAGTATTTTTATCCTGAAACCTCGAGCCGGGGATTTCTCTTTGTTCCTTTTTTATGACAAGATTGTCTTCAACCCCACCACCTTTCTCTCCTTCTGTACCGCTGTGCCTGAATTTAATTTCCTCCCTTCTCTCCTGCTCCCCTCCCCTTCCCCTCCATGCTTCTCCCCTCCTTCCTCCTCCCTTTCTATCTTCCTCTTCCTCTCTCTCCTGCAGAACCGGAGTGGGCCTCTCTGACTCTCGGTGTGTTTGTGTGCCAGGCCTGTTCGCTCCTCCATCGCAGCATCCCTCACATCAGCCGGGTCAAATCTGTCCAGGAAACGTGGGATGCCAGTGAGGTGGAGGTGAGGCAGTGAATGCAAAACATACTCACATTACAAGACCCCCACTAAGATATATCGATCGAAAACATGTTCTGAATCCTGAATAAACACATAAGTGTATAAATCTTGCTCATGGCGGCAGGATTCTCGCAATATCACGCAAAAATCTATCTTGTCAGACTTAACGTGTTTGTTTCTGAACTACAGTAGTTTGGACCAATGAGCATCCTGCGAGCATACTGACAGTTCAGGCTGTGGTTATATGTATTATTGAATTGGCCAAATCTGGAAAAACACAAGGTGCATTAACTATGTTTGACGTGTAAAGCGAGGACATTTAATGTGGAAACAAATCACCTGTTCAATCTTTTGCATTTAACATATTTTTTTATGCTGATCTGGGTCAAAACATTTGAACAAAATACATTTTTTTTTACTCAACATTAAACATAACTAACAATATTTGCCTTTGTATTTACCTCGTGGGATGAAATACTTATACATCCCAAACATGCTGGTGCTATTCCTTTAATTAGTTTGCACTAGTTGTTTTTCCATGTAGCCTAAAAATATAGAGACATAGTGAATTGTGTCCAAATTGTTAATTCTGCAGACTGGTTGTGTTAAAGATGTGAATGTTGTACAAATGAATGCAATAAATACAAATAATATGAAGTATGAAGCCCATGGTGCCTACAGAGTCTCAAACTGTGCCATTATTTTTTTGTTTCTATGGAAACAACCTAGTCGGGGGACATTTTTCAACAATATGACAGAAAAAGGGCAGGAGGGGGAAACTGCAATGAAGCCAAAGAGGACTATTATTATTTTTTACAGTAGGTGCAGATCTCATTAAAACACTGCCTGCTGTTTATATTCTGCACTGTGCTGGTAGGTTAGGGAAGAGGTTTTAGGCTAATATGTTTTTGTTTTAAAATGCTGTTTTCGCATGAAATGAGCAATTTAAAACCATATTCAGATATTATCTCTGTCCATGCTAACATGCCTGAAAACACAGATCACATGACTAATAGCATATACTAAGCAAGCACGTGCTTAAAGGTAGGGTAGGTAATTTTGGAGAAACCAGCTCGAGTGCGCTAGAATTTGAAAATACACAGCCGGAAAAAATCTGCCACTTCCTTATAGAGCCCCTCCTCCAACACACACGAACGCAGACATGACCAATGAGGGCACGAGATAAGTTTGTGCACAGATGGAAGGCTGACAGGCAGGTAGGCCATCCAGTTATTTTAGCAGGGCCGGCTCAGATGATTGGTCGTGCTTTTTACAGTATCACGGCTTCCACAGATGTATTTTTTTAATGTATTCTTTGCCAAAGCATTTAATATATTCATTGCTATCGGGATGTTAAGAGCATTCCATGGAATATAACAAAAAGTGTTTCTGAAATAAATGACATACCCCACCTTTAAGTTAACAGGAAGCATAACACCGCTGGATGTAGGAATTGTCATATATCGCTTCAAAAATAGAAACAGACCTCCTAGACACGCACATTTTACTGCATTACAGCTGCTACCATGGACAAAAAAGGTCAGCTGTGCATCTGGTCTCCACAGGTAGTCAACAAGGATGGTTCCTATTCTTTAAGACGTGTCATATGATAGGATAAACAATGAAGAAGCGTGTGTGGTTGGTCATCAAGCTAAAAAAATCTCAGTTTCCGCCCGTCCAAACTTAAACGCGACCCTTACGTTTTCATTCTTAAACTGAATAGTGTGGATGCTAGGCGTACATGAGGCTACAATTCAGATTTGAAAGCAGTTTTAAACATATTTGCATGGATGAATTCTGAGAATACTGGAAACAAATCAGTTACAACAGAATTAAAGGAATCCGAACAGACCACATAATGTTTGGGGCATGTGTTTCTTAAGTCCGCTGCATGTGTGTATTCATACTGTGTTTATTCATAACTAATAAATTGGGGGGAAAAGTGGATTAGGAAGGCTTCCATATGCTTTGATACCTCAACATATCTCCAGTCCGTCCTTGTGCAAGACATTTCAAGTCTTATCAGCTCATGATCAATGCTCTTCAGCTGACCCTGACCTCTGACCTCTCTCTGGAAGGGAAATCATTCAGGATCAATAGAGGATCATTGCATTAGTGACACCATTTACACTTTTCTCTGGTGTGTAGGAAGAAGCTGAGCTAAGTGTGTGGCTTGCAAAATACTCTATGCCCGCTTCAGAAATACGTCAGCAGGAAATAACACAGATATTTATATTTGAGATTGTGTTTTTTTTTTTTGCTTTGCTGCGGTACAGAGAAGTTGTGCCGTGGATGGATTTGTCAGCGCTTTCACACCACTGGGTGACAAAAATTGACTTTGGGGGAAGTGATGCTGGCATGAGTCATGACAGGAGGTTGGAGGTGTGGGAGGACAGTAATTGGGATGTTAAGGGGATTTGACTTAAGGGGAGAGTGAGGTTTAGTGAGGGTAAATGTAGAAATAATACAGGAGTAGTGGGTGTTTTCGGGGTAAAACCTTAACACAAGCAAGAGTATTAGTTGTGTTAGTTAGAGTAATAGATTTGATTGCGGGGTCGGAAAGAAAGGTTAATAAAGTGTGAATGTGTTGTGTTGAATCTCACCTTCTGTAATTGTAGTATAGGGAGAGTTTAGAGGTGGTTTTGAAATGTCGGAGTTTTATTGTTGAGACTTCTGGAGCTGCTGTAGTCCCACTTCAATAAAACATCCGCAATTAGAGGAGACACTTTCGTCTAACGGACACAATAGGATTTATTTTACTTTGCAATAATAGTGGTAAGGACTGTTATGAGATTCACAATATTTTTAACAGCAAATCCCAAATGTTTCTGTATTGTGAACACTGAAGGAAGGTCAATGTTAGTAAGTAGCCTTATTATGTTTCTGTGGTTCCCCTCTTTCATGAATCTGATTTTAGTGAGAACGCAAAGGAGAAAAACATTTGCCAGCACCACCATAATTTACTTGAGGATTTTTAGAATAAAATATCTTTAAACTGTGGCTAGTAACCACTTTTAAACATGATATTTGATAAATTGAGCCCACTTTCCATTCACGTGTTAATGCAGCATTGCAGGAGCACTGCATATATTCCATTCAAATTCATATTAAGTGTTTTTATGAACAGGTTGTGTTTTTTTATATCTCCTTTACAGTTAGTCGCTTCCACTGGAAACAATGCAGCCAAGGCCAAATATGAGCAGAAGGTTCCTGCTTTCTACTACAGACCAATACACTCCGACTGCAAGTAAGTGATCCTTATTTCAGTTGTGACTTTTAGCAGTTATTTAATGTGAATGAATTAGCCTATATGCTAGTTAGTAACAGAATATTCATTGCTACGGCCAACTGACGGCATAGTGTTCAGGACAATATAAATCATACATTTAGTGACAAATTCTCCCTTTTTCAACCCAGTCTCACGGCATTTCGTGTTATTAGTCACGAAATTAATTTAATCTATTGATTCGTGTTCACCAACACGATTTTCACATTTTTTTTGTGTCACACAGAACGATTTTAAATGCAATGTATTTCTATTGGTAGTATGTTTCGTGCCTGCAACACGTCTTTTTGTCCGGTCGGGTCTTGGAAGACCAGAAGCTGTGTGGTTCATAAAAACATGTTCTTACTCAATATCTTACCCTAAGCCTAACCCTATCCCTTTTATTTTAAATTGTATAATGTCTGAGTTTTTTTGCCGTCAGTGAGGAAAAGAAATGGCTCAGAGCCTCAGAATACTGAAATCTGTATTTTATGTCATCTTTTTTTCCTTCTAATTTGTTATTATTTGGTGCAGGCACGAAACATACTACCAATATAAATACATTGCTCCTAAAATCGTTCTGTGTCAGAATACTTAAATCTGTATTTTTTTTTAATGTGTTTTTCCTTCTAATTTGTTATTATTTACATTGCTTTTAAAATCGTTCTGTGTGACACGAAAAAAATGGCGAAATCGTGTTGGTGAACACGAATCAATAGATTAATTTCGTGACTATAACACGAAATGCCATGAGGCTGTGTTGCCTTTTTACATTATTCACTTAGCTCTTAATTTACATGGTTATTCATTTTGTATAGACTTTGCTTACATGGTTATTGTTTGGTTAAGGAATTAGCCTACTTGCTAGTTAGCTAACATGGACCGTTATTTATTGTTAACGAATTAGCCTACTTGCTAGTTAGCTAACATGGTTATTTATTGTTAACGAATTAGCCTACTTGCTAGTTAGCTAACATGGTTATTTATTATCAAGGACTTAGCCTAGTTGCTAGTTAGCCTATATGGTTATTTATTGTTAACGAATTAGCCTACTTGCTAGTTAGCTAACATGGTTATTTATTGTTAACGAATTAGCCTACTTGCTAGTTAGCTAACATGGTTATTTATTGTTAACGAATTAGTCCACTTGCTAGCTAACATGGTTATTTATTATCAAGGACGTAGCCTGCTTGCTAGTTAGCCTACATGGTTATTTATTGTTAAATAATTAGCCTACTTGCTAGTTAGCTAACCTGGATATGACTTAGCCTTTTTGTTAGTTAGCTCACATGGTTATTATCATTGAATTAGCATACTTGCTAGTTAACTAACATATAACCGTTTTCTTCGGCTAACTGACCATAGACTATTGTTGAAGACAGTAACGTAACAACATACATTTGGTGGCAAATCTACCTTGAAACACTATTCATTTTACAACCAGCTCTTTTTTTCAGTTCTCCACTGTAGACTCTAATATTGGCGCAGGTATAACTTAAAGGTCAGTGTTTGTGTGTAAATGTGTAATAACCTTCAGTGAACAAAATATCAAAGCTGACTCGTAAGTTCACTTATGTTTGGATATAAATAGTAAAGAAAGACAGTGGTTTCCTGGTATTTCTAACAGAAGCTAACCTTTGACGAGATCCCCACGTAAGAATGTAATGATGGTTGAAGAGAAAGGTGCCATTGTTAATGTTAGTAAAAATGCATTGCCATATTGCCACCAGTGTTACAGAGATGTCCAAAAACCAAAGCCAAACCCCCTCAAGCTGCAAACAATGTCCATTATTAATGTTTGTATTAAATATAGTGAATTTAAGAAGGTTTGTAATTGTCTCAGGGCTTAGGAAGGCTATTTAATTTGCATTACGTCTCAATTTAGAGTATTTTAGTCTTGGTCTAATACCCCTTTGGTTAGTGCAGCTTAAAGTTTTACATTTGATGTAATTTGTGCTTTTGTTGAGCTTTACAGTCAACACGCTGAATGCAGAGGCTGTTGCACTGCAGTGTTAAAGTGATGCAAACACTTAAAGTGTTGAAGCTGTGACACACTTTACTGTAGACATACTATAGTTTATTTTTTCACACCTTAAACATCACTTCCTCTTCCTCTTCCTCTCTGTGTCTATAAAAGGCATACACAAAGTATTAACCCCTCCCTGATCTATTTCCAATTTCCTTTTACAGAACTTTAGAATTGCAGTGGATTGATAAAACGATTTTTTGAACTTATTCTGGAAGCTGCTGTACACTACAGACTTTTCTGTATTAAAAAACAGGTGAAGTCCTTAGATCTTGTACTTAAGTGAAAGTAAAAATACCATAGTGTGAATTTCTAATTAAACTTCCTGCCTTCAAAATGTTACTTAAGTAAAAAGTACACAAGTATTACCATCAAAATATACTTAAACACAAACACACAAAGTCAAGGTACTCATCAAGCAGAATGGCCCATTTCTGATTACTATATGTTAATTTATTTATTTATTTATAAAGCAATTATGCGTTTGTTGCGGTTGGTAAAGATAGATCTTATTTATGACTTGTATACGGTTGGGTAGCTTGTGAATTACCTTCAAATATAGCTAAGTTATTGTGCAGATTATATGTCATATCTGTAATATGAATCTGTAACTAGTAACTAAAGGTGAAGGTGAAGTGGAGTAAGGACAATATTTACCTCTGAGATTTAGTGAAGTAAAGGTATAAAGTAGTAGAACATGTAAATACCCAAGTAAAGTAACATTCCCCTACTCCTTTTCTGTACCAACAAACCTAAATATATACCTTTACCTCCTTCATACGCTCTGCTTGTATAATCTGAGGTAGTGACACAGATTTATTCGGACATTTTAAGCTCGTCCATCCTTTGCTCTCTCTGTTTCTGCCACCCTCTGTGATTGAAAGAGACGGAAACAGAGCTAAGTCAGGTGGCGCTGGATCAAAGTGTCCTCTTCGATGTGTGTGTGTGCCATGCTGTCAGTTTGTGTTCACTCACTCTCTCTCCCCTGAGAAAGCAGGGTTTAGATCCAGTCACTAGGAGGTGTCATTCAAAGGGAAATCCGCCAAGTTTGAGATAGAGGTTGAGAAAGGAAACGGCGTGAGAGAGAGATAGTCGGCATGGGGATGTGTTGCCATTTGTTGAAGGTCTAACGTTGTCGAGATGTAGCTTTGGGAGAAAGTGTGGAAACAAAGGAGCGTTGTGGAACATAAGCTCAAGGCCTGTTCCATTATTCAGTTTAATCAGGACCTACACAAACAATAGGGGCAGTGTTCAAAATGGAAAACGGGGCAAAAAAACGAAAACGTGTAATGCTCTGCCATTGTATTAATCAATACCCCTCTCAGAGTGTGTGTGTGTGTGTGTGCGTGTGTGTGTGTGTGTGTGTGTGTGTGTGTGTGTGTGTGTGTGTGTGTGTGTGTGTGTGTGTGTGTGTGTTTGATAGACAGCCTCTGTGTGTGTGTGTGTGTGTGTGTGTGTGTGTGTGTGTGTGTGTGTGTTTGATAGACAGCCTCTGTGTGTGTGTGTGTGTGTGTGTGTGTGTGTGTGTGTGTGTGTGTGTGTGTTTGATAGACAGCCTCAGTGTGTGTGTGTGTGTGTGTGTGTGTGTGTGTGTGTGTGTGTGTGTGTGTGTGTGTGTGTGTGTGTGTGTGTGTGTGTGTGTGTGTGTGTGTGCGTGCGTGCGTGCGTGCGTGCGTGCGTGCGTGCGTGCGTGCGTGCGTGCGTGCGTGCGTGCGTGCGTGCGTGCGTGCGTGCGTGTGTGTGTGTGGAATAAAAAGCTACAGCTGGCAGCTAAAGATAGGAAGTTAGATGTGCAGTAGTTACCTGTTGCCCTTTTACAACTTCTACTTACTCTCCACTGCACTTTCTCAATGCACTCTGCTGCATGTTAAACCGTCACCTGATTTTGTTATTATTGTACACACCAAATTGTTATTATTATTTAAGGCCATCAATAACCTCACTCCTCTGTACCTCTCCGACCTCACTGCACCCCCCTTCCGTTTAACCACCATGGGGTCCAGAGCCTTCAGCCGCTCTGCACCCCGCCTCTGGAACTCTCTCCCACCTGACATCCACAACACTGTCTCTCTCCCCATGTACCTGTATTCTTAGTGATATCAATATTTCTGTGACTCATTCACGAGGAGTCAACGCTCTTCTGTGAAGCACTTTGGACTGACATTCTTGTATGAAAGGTGCTATACAAATAAAGCTTATTATAAAGTATAATGTTATTTTCTAGACATTTTGGCTCTCCTCATGACTTAGAAATACAAGTACTGCTACTATAAAACAAAACATAATTATAAATAAATAAATAATTACAATTTAATAGAATTTAAACATGGCCCTAGGCTCTGGAACACTCTGCCCCTCCATGTGAGGTCGGCCCAGACCCTAGGGGTTTTTAAAACTAAACTAAAAACACACTTCTTCTCTCTGGCTTTCTAGTTAGAGCGGAGCACGACTCCTGACTTTTCCGTGTGTTTTATTTTTATTTTGTTTTTAAGATATATCTGTTGTAATTTATTGTCGTTTATTGTGATTTGTAGTAATGTGTTTTTATTACATGTACAGCACTTTGGCTCGACCAAAAATCGCTTTTAAATGTGCTATATAAATAAAACCTGATTTGATTTGATTTGATTTGAAACATAGATATACTATAGAATACTTGTAAAAACAAAGGCTAATAATAATAAAATAAAAGCTTATATAAAACTCAGATTTTTCTTGTTAAGTATTACTGTACAGAAATGGCTTCATACTGTACAGCATGTGTGCGTTAGAGAGTGTGTGTTTGGTGTAAATGATAATTGTGTGTGTGTTTTCTGTGTCTGCAGGATGCTGAGAGAGCAGTGGATCAGAGCCAAGTACGAGAGGAACGAGTTTGAGTTTATCGAAAAACAAGAGCCTTACTCTGCAGGTACTCACATGTTTGTATTATTGTGTTTCCTTAGCACAACTTAAATATATAATGATGACATGGGCAATAAAAGGGAAGTAAGCAGAGGATATTAATACCACTCTCATGTCTACATGTTAAATATGAACGTTTGTTTTTGGACCCATGGGCTTTTTAGACCAATTGGACATTTTTCAGACTATTATTGACCAATCGGCAGTCTCAAAATTAAGATTGCATTAAGAGAAAACCTTTAAACCACCTCTGGTCTAAGTTTAAGACTGAAGACAAGCAATATATCCTTTCCTTGTCTCCTTATCTGCATTTCTTTCATTATAAATGGAGACTCCTTGGTGTTTAAAAGGCGACTAAATGGATAAATGAGAGTCTCTTAAAGGGATATCACCCAAAAAAGGACCTTCAATCTAATCTTAGACACAGACTTTCTTTACTCTAATGCTCTCTTTTACATTCTCCTTATTAAAAGCCCATCTCTGCCATTGATTTCCTCTCTGTTATCTGTCTGTGTGTGTGTGTGTGTGTGTGTGTGTGTGTGTGTGTGTGTGTGTGTGTGTGTGTGTGTGTGTGTGTGTGTGTGTGTGTGTGTGTGTGTGTGTGTGTGTGTGTGTGTGTATGTGTGTGAGAGAGAGAGTCTCTGACATGATCCATTCACCTACACAGGCATTACCTCATGGATCAATAACCCTCCATGTCGCCTCCTTCCCTCACACTCTCCTCCTTCCTCCGATCCTTTGCATACACGATCAATATTAACATTAGCCGCTGTGGAGGCCAGTCACACACACACACGCACACACACACACACACACACACACACACCACACACACACACACACACACACACATCAAATGTCATGGCCCTCACAATGAGTAATGAAGAGAGCATACATGCACAAATAGAGATGACAGAATGACTCATATTATTAAACTCTGACAGTGTGTGTGTGTGTGTGTGTGTGTGTGTGTGTGTGTGTGTGTGTGTGTGTGTGTGTGTGTGTGTGTGTGTGTGTGTGTGTGTGTGTGTGTGCGTGCGGGGGGTGTGTGTGCATAGTTTTCCAATGTTACTATACATGAATGATATCACCGCAAGCCAATCAGAAAGCTCCGTCTGCAACAAGATGTGAAATGTATACTAGTTGACACACACACACACACACACACACACACACACACACACACACACACACACACTGTTTGAATGCTCTATACTCTCAGGCAGTGACAGTCTGCCTATGTCTGAAAGCAACAACATGTTCAGGATAATTGAACTCCATCTTCTCCATTCCACCGGGAAATGTTTGTCCGCTGACTTTTCAAGGTTCTGCTTATCGAAGGGTAAACAACGCAAGATTGGCTTGGAAATACCTTTAATAAGGGGGCTTTCAAATATCAACAAATAAGGACATTTAGTCATTAATAAGAATAATACATAATAAACATGTAATCTACTAACAGCAGAACTTGGAGCCACTTAACATGAATCACATTTATTTCATTCTCTACTTTTCCAAGTCATCATTCATGACAAACTAATTCCCCTCTCATCCCTTACTGTACGTGTCATTTTAAGTGCAAACCAAAATTGTTGCTCGTTTTAAAACACTCTGAATCACATCATCGGTCTAATGGCTAAAGTGTCAATGACTTACTTCTTAAGCCACGAAAATAGATCCAGATTATAAAGAAAAACACATCACACACAGCGTGACTGAAATAGATGAGAAAAGACAGAAAGGGAGGCGGTGTGGGCCGAGCCTTTCACCAAGAATAGAAGAAAAGGACATTGAAGTTTATAAATAGATGTGATTTGGTCTTTAGAGACAGTCATTTATTTATATTTCCTGTTCAATTCTGCCCTCTCTCGTCTGTTTGCCTCCTGGATGTTGTTCCTTTTCATCCTCCTCTCCTAAATGTGATTTCAAACGATTCCTGCTCTCACCTTACACCGCCGTTTACATCCCTCCATTACTCTGTTTTAATCTCCTATTTCCCATAACAACCTCAGACTGCTTTTGTGCTCTCTGCTCAGGGTACAGAGAGGGTTTTCTGTGGAAACGAGGACGAGACAACGGTCAGTTCCTCAGCCGAAAGTTCATCCTGTCGGAGAGGGAGGGGGCGCTGAAGTACTTCAACAAGCAGGACGTAAGAGGATGATACAGCTGGAATTAAAGGGTGTTCATACTGTAGTGTGAACAAGTAGTTCAAAAACAGCAATACTCAGGAATATAAGACTTCAACTGATACGATGATACTGTATTGTCACAGCAGCTACATACGCAACATCAACGAAGCATTTAAGACAAGAAAACTGACATTTAATACAACATTACAATCACTGAAAACAATATGTCCGAGTCCCTTTCACCTGGGTTTAAAGCAGAATTGAAATATGCTCCCTTAAAGGTCCCATGTCATGCTGTTCTGGTTATTACCCGTCCCCTTGTTGTTATGAAGGGTTTTATGCATGAGAAGACCTGTCTATGCTGCCCCAGAACGCCTCGTTGGAGATTCCTCTTTTTCTTCCTGGGTACAGTGACGTGCCCATACCCAAATGGACCCATTGGTCCAAATGGACCAATCCGCGGAGCCGTTACGTTAAGTCCGTGGATTGGTCCAAATTGACCAATCCACGGACTTCCTCACACACACTCAATCTTTTCTCAGCTGCAGCTCCGCCGATTTCTCCTCCCTGAGACGGCGGGACACGGCGAGGCTGTGAGTCGGTGTGTGAGCACACACACAAACTCCCAGCCAGGCTGCGGGTGTGTGTGTGTGTGTGTGTGTGTGTGTGTGTGTGTGTGTGTGTGTGTTCGGGCTGGTTTCGGGCTGGGTTTCGCTGTCTCGCAGACGGCCACTGGGCTCACAGGGAGGGGGGGCAGGAGCTCCAACAAGCCGTTTAGGACAGAGAGTGAATACACATACTATACAGAGACGCTGTATGAGAAACCAATGTGAGTTTGGAACATTGCACAAAATAAATCTATTTTAGTAGACCTCAACAATGGAATTATGATCAGTAGAAATGGCCATGTCATGGGACCTTTATCAAAAAACCAATATGCTCTTACTTCAGTATATGGAGAATTTTTAACAGTTAAAAAGAAGAAAGCCTCGGCAAATACAGGAAACAAACTGGCCTAAAGTCTCCGAATTGAAATATAGGTTAAATAGATTGAAGTATAGGCTAAATAGATTGAAGTATAGGCTAAATAACGAACTAAATAACTTGATTTGGTGGCGTAGTTTTGACTTTAATGCACTAGTACAATGTAGTTTTGCAGTAGTGTAGAGCACTTCTTCTAATGTACATTTTCATCAGATATATTGAATGTGTACTAAGTCCTATATTCTCCCTCTCCCCTAAGGCCAGGGATCCCAAAGCGATGATGAAGATCGAGACCCTGAACGCCACCTTCCAGCCGGCTAAGATTGGAAACCCGTGTGGTTTGCAGATCACCTACCTGAGAGACAACAGCACAAGGAACATCTTCGTCTACCACAGCGATGCTAAGGTACACAGATGAACTCTTATTATCACTGTAATCGTGCTCCTTAAAGAGGCAAGAGACACCTTTTCTACTTTCTGTTTCCAAATGGTGTTTAATGTTACTGTTGAAAACACATCTGTAAAGCTTGCTGTTTTCCTCAAAGCATACTTAGATAGATAAGTATACACCTACCTACCTACCTACCTACCTACCTACCTACCTACCTACCTACCTACCTACCTCCCTACCTACCTACCTACCTACCTACCTACCTACCTACCTCCCTACCTACCTACCTACCTACCTACCTACCTACCTACCTACCTACCTACCTACCTACCTACCTACCTCCCTACCTACCTACCTACCTACCTACCTACCTACCTACCTCCCTACCTACCTACCTACCTACCTACCTACCTACCTACCTACCTACCTACCTACCTCCAAAGACTTCTCATCTTCTCCATGTCACGTCTGAGAGTGCAGTAATACAGGGTTGGGTTGGTGGTATAATATGCACGCTGTCTGCTTTACTAAACTCACTCGGACTTGGGAATGTCCCTCAATAATTCATTTCCTTTTGGCTTTTTGCGTAACCCTTCATTTGTAGTATCAGTGTCTTCAGCAGCGACAGAGCACTCAGAGAGAGTTTGACACAGTTTGTGGGTGTTTTGGCTCTGAGGCAATGTGTACGAAGGTAAAATGTGGACTTTAAGCTTTATTTCAAAGATGTCTACTTCCAAATTGAGGTAAAAGAGTAAGCTTTTAGAGGGGCTATCAAAAAAATGGCTGTGATTGACATTAGCACTGCACAATTAATCAAGTTTTTACCAAAATGTAATATATTGTTTTACAGAAATGTGAACATTTTAAAAAAAAATCAGTGAAAATAATCTAAATGATTTATTTTTGCTAAATTGTGCAGCCCTAATGTACATCCACAATAAGGAAAAACAGTAGAAATTGCCACAAAAATATCGGAAATTGGAGGACTTAGCAAAACAAAAATGGCAGCAATTGCAACAGTATACAACAGTATGAATGTAAGTGACCTTAAGAAACGTTATAGCTCAAATTCAGCACTTTAACCCCCACATTGTGCACAGAAAATGTGTCCTACTATACACACACTGCACTGTATGACTACGTTTAAATATGTAGACGTTCAGTTTTTATTTTTTTATTTTTCACAGCTTCATTTTTCATTTTTCCACAAATACAGTATGTCCAACATTCGTGACAAAAAGTTGCAAAAAAGAGAGATTTAGAAAGAGAGATGGTGCTGCTCCCTCTGCTGGCTGGGTGGTGAAACTGCAGGCTCAGACAGGAAGGGTTCATTGGGTTAATTCGGTGTCACCGTCACTCTTCTTCTGTGGTGCTGTTATCGACAGCTCTGCAGCAGCACAGAGGCCTCTGAACACACCTTAGTGATGCCTTCACTGGCAGCGGAGAAAAAAGAAAAAAACCACACATCACTCACTCTGAGCCGAGGGGAATATAGACGCTGTGACTTCCTGCACTGAAGGAGTGTGTGTGTGTGTGTGTGTGTGTGTGTGTGTGTGTGTGTGTGTGTGTGTGTGTGTGTGTGTGTGTGTGTGTGTGTGTGTGTGTGTGTGTGTGTGTGTGTGTGTGTGTGTGTGTGTGTGTGTTTCTTTATTACAGGAGATGGTGGACTGGTTCAATGCTATCAGAGCGGCCAGGTTCCATTACCTGCAGGTGGCCTTCCCCGGAGCCAGTGATGAGGAGGTGAGCATTTAAAGGTCACCTATTATGCAAAATCCTCTTCTTCATGTCTCTTCTACATCAACATGTGTCCCCTCTTCTTCATGTCTCTTCTTCATCAACATGTGTCCCCTCTTCTTCATGTCTCTTCTACATCAACATGTGTCCCCTCTTCTTCATGTCTCTTCTTCATCAACATGTGTCCCCTCTTCTTCATGTCTCTTCTACATCAACATGTGTTCCCTCTTCTTCATGTCTCTTCAACATCAACATGTGTCCCCTCTTCTTCATGTCTCTTCTTCATCAACATGTGTCCCCTCTTCTTCATGTCTCTTCTACATCAACATGTGTCCCCTCTTCTTCATGTCTCTTCTTCATCAACATGTGTCCCCTCTTCTTCATGTCTCTTCTACATCAACATGTGTTCCCTCTTCTTCATGTCTCTTCAACATCAACATGTGTCCCCTCTTCTTCATGTCTCTTCTACATCAACATGTGTCCCCTCTTCTTCATGTCTCTTCTACATCAACATGTGTCCCCTCTTCTTCATGTCTCTTCTACATCAACATGTGTCCCCTCTTCTTCATGTCTCTTCTACATCAACATGTGTCCCCTCTTCTTCATGTCTCTTCTACATCAACATGTGTCCCCTCTTCTTCATGTCTCTTCTACATCAACATGTGTCCCCTCTTCTTCATGTCTCTTCTTCATCAACATGTGTCCCCTCTGTGGAAAGAGACTCTGAAAGTTTCAGGAACAAAGATTCTCTCTCTTTTTGTCCTGATCCATTTCTATAAAAACCTGTCTGAAAATGAGCTGATCAGATTTTGGCCACTTTATGATGTCATAACGATGTTTTGTCTTGTGTAACCATTAGCCAATCAGCAACCAAGGTAACCCCCCCTCCCCACCTTATCACCTGAATCTCCTCCTAGAGCACCATTGAGTTCTTTGTAACCAAATCTCTCTCAGAGGGGCGTGGGGAGGGGCTCCTTATTTTCATCTAAAGTAACAGACAGAGAATCAGCACTTTGGAAACAGGGCTGAAACAGAGGGGATTATGGGTAATGCTGCAATGATCTGTTTGGTGTTTCAGCCAATCAGAGACAGGCTCTGGATATATCTGAGACCTGTGATATATTGATGAAAAACGGTATAATAGCGGACCTTTAATTACACAACACACACTCATGGGGTTTGGAACCATTACTGGATAGACACTGGTTCGAGTCCCCATGCAGTCATAAAAAAAGTAATAATAATAATACACTTTATATATATTTATATAGCACCTTTCATGCTTGACGCAGCCCAAAGTGCTTTACAGACTATGACAGATAATAACAATAACACAATATACAAACCGAACGAGTTATATCACTGAACTTTAAAATAATAAAACAATAAAACATGAACAGTGATACTACTAAAACATTTGAGATTGCCCCAAATTATAAGCCAAATCAAAAATATAGGTCCTTAATTTACTTCTAAATTATTTGTTTATTTATTTGTTGTGTTTTTTTTCTGCTGAATGACGAATTTGTTTTAAACCTTTGAGCAAAAATGTGTTAAACTGAAAATGGTATTTTTTCATGATTCTTTGTGGAGAAAGTTTGACAGATTTGACAGATCTCAGTTTTAAGATTGGTCGATCAACAAAAAATAATTGAGTCAAATAAGAGGCAAAGACATTGTAATAGCTATCTAAAGCTATTTAGCTCTAAATGCTAATGATAGTCCCAACACCATCCATCTTGTGTGCCCTTTTTTGCATCCTATTATTTCACGTATCTCTCGTTCGTCTTCTTTCCTCCAGCTGGTGCCTAAACTGACCCGAAGCTTCATGAAGGAAGGATTTATGGAGAAAACCGGTCCAAAGGTTTGCATACTCACTGGATCCTTAAGTTCCTGCAACGTCAAATCAGGATTTATACTCTTACTAAACCTCATTACCAAAGTTACATTTGCCTACATTCAAAAGCATCTGGAGGTCATAGTAGAATAGTTTCCAACTTTTTGGTGACTTCTTATAATGAAGCAATACTTTTTCTTTGAATGTTTAATTTAAATCATGTTGTTCAGCTTAAATGATCATACCCTAACTATCACCAAAAAACATTATACTGGAAAAGAAAAAAAAAATGCACCTAACTTGATTGAAACTTGCAGAAAACCCTCTCAACTTTCCTAAATAATAAATTGTCTCTTCAACGTGTGATAGTGTGTCTTTTTCTCTGCCTCAGCACACAGAGGGCTTTAAGAAGAGGTGGTTCACCATGGATGACAGGAGACTCATGTACTTCAAAGACCCTCTGGTAAGACCTCATTATATCCCCTTTATTTCCTTCTGATCGCTCAGTTTCTTCATCAGACTTCCTCTCTCTCTCTGGTCTAAAACCACCAGACTCAGGGACAGTTTCATCCCACAGGAACATAAGACTGTTCAACACCTGAACTTTTGAAAAAACATCCCTAACATTCATCTGTTTGCAACTTACAATTTATTTATCTAATGTATCATATTCCAATTACTTGCACGTATGTCTTATTGTTGTTTTTTTATTTTAAGTGGAGCCATGAAAAATGAGAGTTGCCTCAGGAATGCCAAGTTTGTTCCTATGAGTCAACTGGATACCACATCCATAAAACTATTCAAGATGACCCTACAGCCCGTGCAGACTGGAGTCCAATTAAGTACTTTCCCCAGTACATTGACTACAAAGTCTTTGAAGATTTGGCAGCATTCACCAAAAACCAAACTAGTTTTTTATTGATCAAATATACAGCAATGTTCAGATCTATTCATTATGTATTGTTCAAACAAAGGTGAATGCATTCTTCTATTAATACCGTTCTATAAGCATAATATGTTACATAGTTTATCTGTTAATTATGGCGGTCTTTTCACACTAAAATGGTATTGGCTTCCTCTACAGTGGACATACTGTAACATTTAAAATTAAATAAAGAATTGTCTAAATTGTAAGATGTTTTTTTAACCCTAAATAGGTAGGAAAAGAAAATACAAAAAAATTGGGAGACACTTTTTTTCCTCGGTTCCCAGGAGGATATAGACTCTCCTTGCACTATTTTATCAGTGTTATTGTGTTGCACTGTTGGAGGAGCCTGTGACCTCAGATTTTCATGTACATATCTACACTGTAGCTATGTACACATGACAATACAAGCGTTGACTCTCGTCTCTCAGGACGCCTACGCCCGTGGAGAGGTGTTCATCGGCAGTAAGGAGAACAGCTACACGGTGCTCTCCGGCCTGCCCTCCTCCACGCAGGGACACCACTGGAGCCACGGCATCACCATCGTCACGCCCGACAGGAAGTTCCTGTTCGCCTGCGAGACCGAGGCCGAGCAGCGCGATTGGATATCGGCCTTCCAGAGGGTCATCAACCGACCAATGAGGCCGCAGGAATACGCAGGTGAGAGACATTTGAATACTGAATGGAGTTATTTTCAGTAAGGGAAACATTTAGCCTGTTTATTTGATACTCTCTGAAGTGTTTGCTTTCTAGTAGCACTGTGGAGCAATGGGTTGAAGGAGTGGAGTCTGGTTTGTAAACTTTAATCTCTGAAAAATGAAGGATGTTCTTGGATTCGATGGTATTTTAAGACCAATTTGTTTCCCCTGTAGCACCTGATATATCGAGATGCTTGTTTGTAACAAAGTTAAACAACAATTACCTTCTGAACACATAGAATTACTACAATGAAAAAGCCACTAAAGCTCGGTTTTGTCCTAATGTGTTGTCTTTCATTTAACCTTTGTTACTGTCACAGAAGCATCAGGGGCCGTATCTCATTTAAACCCACACATGGTTGTTGGAAGTGGTTGTATGTGAGCTGAACTGGTGAAATTGTATATTGTAAAGCCCCAGTGGCCCAATGGATAAGGCACTGGCCTCCTAAGCCAGGGATTGTGGGTTCGAGTCCCATCTGGGGTGATTAACTGTTGGCCCTGTAACCCAGAGGTTATTGGGTCCTTTATTAGAGTTTCAGCAAAGTTAGAGGTTAGGATCAGCCAAGAAAATGTAGATGTAAGGCCTCTGTTGGAAAATCAAAAAGGTTACTTGGCTCAAACCAAACAAGCATCAAAACAGAACTCAATTCAGTGGAAAAACTGTATATGGATCTAGTCACTATAGGCGCTTTCACACTTTTCCCCGTACTTTTCCCGTTTGGTTCCGATAGTTCCTGGGATTTTGCGTTCACACCAAAAAGAGAACTTAGTTCATGAGAACTTTTCCCCCCTTTTCAGTCCCTGCTAGAGAGGTGGTACTTTCCTGGGGAGAAAAAAGTTCCAATTTCTGATTGGCTGGGCGAATTGCAAACCACGCCCCGTAAAACTCGGAAAAGTTTTGTGAAGCCGCCATTGTATTTGCTGGCATTAGCATCATTAGCATTAGCATTAGCCCGGCGCACCAACGCAGAGAGAATAACTTATGGCAACACAAAAGAAAACATGGGAGTGGTGGAGATGAGGAGGTGTCGGCGTTCTGGCGATTTACTCGGAAGGCTTCAGTAGAAGCTGCTGGGACTCCCAGCCGGGGACTTCGGGTGGCAGTATACGCCGTGAAGTGGTTTGCGGCCTGCCAGTAAGGCCAAAGCAGAAGAAGAAGAAGAAGTGACGTCATTTGCGTAATCTTCTACATCTAATGGATAAGGCACTGGCCTCCTAAGCCAGGGATTGTGGGTTCAAGTCTCATCTGGGGTGTTTGACCTGTAACCAAGAGGTGTTAGGTTCATATTTGTCTTTGGGAAGCTTAGTGTTAACCGTGTTACTGGGGACATCATGACAGTGGTTGGAAAGAAACAAACAGGTTTGCAGTTGGTTGAAATAAAACCAGCATCAGCACTCTACTGGAGCAGAACTCAATTCAATGCAGAATGGATTGAGACAGTCACAGTCAGATTTTAAAAGGTTTCCCCTCACCTTATCTCTTTTTCTTCCACTTACAGTTGAAAAGCCTTGAGTTTGGCATTTTGTCTGGGGTTGTGTAGGAGGCAGAACCGAGACAAGAGGTCGAAAGATAACCAAGGCCATTGTTATCTCATTTAAAAACACATTTGGTCTTCTGTATGTCTAAAAAAGTGGTACAAATATCCATTTGTCAAGCCCCAGTGGCCTAATGGATAAGGCACTGGCCTCCTAAGCCAGGGATTGTGGGTTCGAGTCCCATCTGGGGTGATTGACAGCTGGGCCTATGACCAATAGGTCTATTGGTTCATGTTCTGCTACTTGAAGTTCAAAAGCCTTGAGTTTGGCATTTTGGTGTGTGTTTTGTAGGAACCTAAAGTGACAGGAGAGGTTGGAAGATAATCGAGGCCATTGTTACCTCATTTAACCCTTGTGCCCTCCTCGGGCATTTTTGTACATTTTTCCTGACTTTTTTTTTTGATTTGGTAATCATTTCAGCTGTGTTACAGCTTTTGGCATGGATTTTTGCAAGAAGTCTTCTTTTGAGTCAAATTTTTGAAATCCAATGTCGTTTACTCTTACATGTTTTGTATACTCTCGTGATGCATTTTGCACCCTCTGGACCCCTTCGTGGCAAAAATGTACACGCTCATAGAAACTGCTATTAAATCATCATACATCAATATTTTATTAAACTTTTTTTTCCATGAATCACTTGAACAACTTCTAACGTGCTCAAAACTACCAAACATCCAATAATTTTCAGGATTTTAACCCTTTAAATGCCTGTTTCATTATTTGAATTATTTAATTTCTCTTAAAAAAAAACACAAAAAATGAATTTCTTTCAATATAATAATTAGTAGAGGGATGGAACTTTGGTGGTTATTAGAGTCTGGGATGTGTCAAAGATTAGCAACAAAATTGATTTGACTGCATTATTAATTTTTACGTAGTGTCAGATACTACCTCTGGACACCTTCGTGGCAAAAATGTACACACCCAAAACAACTGCTATTAAATCATCATACATCAATATCTTTTTCTACTTTTTTTTCATGTATCACATATACAACTTCTCACGTACTCCAAACTACCAAACATTCAATCATTGGCAGGATTTTAACCCATTAAATGCCTGTTTAATTATTTTAATTATTTCATTTCTCTCAAAAATGCCTCATTGACTTCCATTCAGACCACATTTGTTGATCTCACTGCCATTGCAGTATAAAACCATGCATTTTGTAATGTCAGCATTTCATTTAGAAGAAAAGTAGTGATATTTGATATTTCTACTCTATTCCAACAGATTAAACCATTTTCCCACTGTAGGCCGATGCATTACATTCTTACATTTTTGCCAGTTATATTATGGAGCCGTGTGACTACCAGGGGGCCCCGAGAGTGGTGTGTGTGTGTGTGTGTGTATGTATGTATATGTATGTGTGTGTGTGCGTGTGTGTGTGTGTGTGTATATGTATGTGCGTGTGTGTGTGTGTATATGTGTGTGTGTTTGTGTGTGTGTGTGTGTGTGTGTGTGTCATTTCCAGCAGCAGACTAGCAGGTCCTGCAGCATGTGACCTGGTGCTCTCAGGTGATAGAACAACAATTTTTTAGGCCTGTGCACAACCAGCACACACCTCTCCTCCCTCTCCGTGTGTGTGTGAGAATCTGTAAGCATGCACAGATCATTTCATGGGAACAAAAGGCCATCTTTTGAGGGATGTGTTTGATGTGTCTTTGAAGAGCTGCTTGATTACTCAAAAACAAAAAACAACTGTTAGTGTGTTTATGCACCTGGCTGCCAAAGATAAACATGCAGTTTGACCAAGGGCTTATTTCATTAGTGAGCAGAGAAGGAGAAAGACCTGGAGCAAAGAGAAGGAACTCAAATGAAGAAGCTTTTCAGTGCAGAAGAGACTTCAGAAATAATCTTGCAGCCTTCTTCTGCCAGCGAGCTGCAGGACTCATCTGAAGAAGACACAAGGTTCGAGCTGGGGTCTGACACTGAATGCTCTCTGGAGTCCAGCATTTCTTTGAGTTCCTCTGACCCTTCATCTGAAAGTGGAGAGGACACTGAGGGTCCGGCCCACCATCCACCACCACGGGGGGCTTTCTTCTCACAATCTGTGAGGACACCCTGGTTTTCCCCAGCTCCTGGGAGAACGACCTCCGTTCTTCTCTGTCCCCTCACTGTGGGCCGGACCCTCAGTGTCCTCTCCACTTTCAGATGAAGGGTCAGAGGAACTCAAAGAAATGCTGGACTCCAGAGAGCATTCAGTGTCAGACCCCAGCTCGAACCTTGTGTCTTCTTCAGATGAGTCCTGCAGCTCGCTGGCAGAAGAAGGCTGCAAGATTATTTCTGAAGTCTCTTCTGCACTGAAAAGCTTCTTCATTTGAGTTCCTTCTCTTTGCTCCAGGTCTTTCTCCTTCTCTGCTCACTAATGAAATAAGCCCTTGGTCAAACTGCATGTTTATCTTTGGCAGCCAGGTGCATAAACAGACTAACATTTGTTTTTTGTTTTTGAGTAATCAAGCAGCTCTTCAAAGACACATCAAACACATCCCTCAAAAGATGGCCTTTTGTTCCCATGAAATGATCTGTGCATGCTTACAGATTCTCACACACACACGGAGAGGGAGGAGAGGTGTGTGCTGGTTGTGCACAGGCCTAAAAAAATGTTGTTCTATCACCTGAGAGCACCAGGTCACATGCTGCAGGACCTGCTAGTCTGCTGCTGGAAATGACACACACACACACACACGCACATATACACACGCACACGCATACATATACATACACACACACACACACACACACCACTCTCGGGGCCCCCTGGTAGTCACACGGCTCCATAATATAACTGGCAAAAATGTAAGAATGTAATGCATCGGCCTACACGGAAACTTGTGTAATCTGTTGGAATAGAGTAGAAATATCAAATATCACTACTTTTCTTCTAAATGAAATGCTGACATTACAAAATGCATGGTTTTATACTGCAATGGCAATGAGATCAACAAATGTGGTCTGAATGGAAGTCAATGAGGCATTTTTGAGATAAATGAAATAATGAAAATAATGAAACAGGCGTTTAAAGGGTTAAAATCGAAACTGTAAATGGTAGTTTTGAGTACGTTAGAAGTTGTATATGTGATTCATGAAAAAAAAGTAGAAAAAGATATTGATGTATGATGATTTAATAGAAGTTATTATGGGCGTGTACATTTTTGCCACGAAGGTGTCCAGAGGTAGTATCTGATACTACGTAAAAAATAATAATGCAGTCAAATCAATTTTGTTGCTAATCTTTGACACATCCAAGACTCTAATAACCACCAAAGTTCCATCCCTCTACTAATTATTATATTGAAAGAAATTCATTTTTTGTGTTTTTTGTCATAAATAATGAAATAATTCAAATAATTAAACAGGCATTTAAAGGGTTAAAATCCTGAAAATTATTGAATGTTTGGTAGTTTTGAGTACGTTATAAGTTG